TTATTTATTTATTTATTTATTTATTTATTTATTTATTTATTTATTTAGGTGATAGGGCATGTGTGCTCACCGGAGAGAGAGAGAGACATTCTAGAAAGAGGGAAAGTGAGAAAGTAAGCTGCCAGTTCTGGGACTTGAACTGCAGTCGGTCATTTGAAGGTCCAACGCCTTAATACCACACCACCTGCTGGCCCCACATTTTTGGGTTATTAATAGCCATCTGTATATTTGTTTTAAAGAAATACCTAATCAAATTCTTTACCCAACTACATTGAATTTGATCGTCTTTTTGTGTGTGATTTTTTTTTATATATTCTAGACATAAGACCCGTATCAGATTTGTAAATTATAAATATTTTCTACAATTCTGTGGGCTCTCCTTTCACTCTCTTGAGTGTCCTTTTAGCAAAACAGTTTTTAATTTATATGAAGTCCAAATGAGCTGTTTTTGTTTGTTTCTCCTCTTTTGGTGTCATATTAAGGAAGTCGTTGTCGAGTCAAAGGTCATGAAGATTTGCCCCTCTGTTTCTTTCTGAGAGTGTCAATAGTTTTTACTTATTAGACTTAGGTCTTTAATTCATTTTGAGTCCACTGTTCATCTGGTGGTGAGTAAAATCACTAACTTCACTCTTTGCCTATAAATACCCACTTTTCTCAGCACCATTTATGGAAGAGACTGTTTCACTGAATGACCCCAGTTCCCATGTTCAAGAGCAGTTGAATATAATATATAGTTTTATTCCTTGTTTTTTTTTCCTTGTATTTCATTTATCTGTCTGTTGATCTTAAACTTTTGATTAGTTCTAACAATTTTCGTTTAATTCTTAAGATTTTTTACTTTTAAGTATGTCATCTATAAATGAATATAGTTTTACTTCTTCCTTTTAAATTTAAGTGCCTTTATTTCTTTTTCTTGCCTAATTACTCTGGCCCAACTTCCAGTACAATGTGAAAATGGGGCGTGATAACAGCAGACAACCTTGTCTTGTTCCTCATCTTAGAAAGTTTCCAGACTTTCAATATTGAGTATGATGGTAGGTGCAAGTTTTTTGGAATTATCTGTTGAGGCAATTCCCTTCACTTTATTTTGTATTTGATGCTCTAATCATGAAGGGTTGAGGTTTCCAATCTTCAACCTTGATTTTCATCAAAAGCTGTCTGTACATCGATTGATTTTCTTCACTATATTCTTGTATTACATGATGGCATTTTCCAATGTTGCAGAACACTAGAACTCCTGGGATAAATTGCGTTTGATCATGCTGCATAATTCTTTCAATACTCTGCTTGATGCTATTGACTGGTATTTTTTTTCCTTCTCTATTCATAATAGATTTTGGTGTATGATTTTATTCTCTTGTGAAGTCTTTGTCCATGGTAGGAGGATAATGTTAAGAAGGGTTCTCTCTTCTACTCTTTTTCATTTGTGAAGAGTATAAGATGGTTTAATGTTAGCACCTTAAAAGTTTGGGAGAATTCACCAGGTTAAATCATCTGGTTCTTGACTATTTTTGGTGGGAAGCGTCTGATTATTGATTCAATCTCCTTGCTTCTTCTAAGTCTATTTAGATGTTCCATTTCTTCTTGGGTCTGTTGTGGTAGTGTGTGTATTTCTAGAAATTTATCTGTCTCATCTGAGTTAACCAACTAGTTGGGCTATAGTTGTTCATAGTATTCTCTTCAAAAATTTTCTTTTCTATAGGATCATTAGTGATGTTCCACTGTCATTTCTGATTTAATCATTCGAGTCTTCTCTTTTTCTCTTAGCTGACTAGCTACAGGTTTATCAATTCTGTAAACCTTTCATGAAGGAACATCTGTTTTCACCAATGTTCTCCAGCGTTCCTTTGTTCTCTAGTCCATTTATCTCTGCTCCAAACTGTGTTTCTTCTGCTAACTTTAGATTGATTTTGCTCTTGTTTTTCTAGTTCACTGAGGGCATTCTCTAACCAGCCTCTTGTATAGACTCCTTCCTCATGTGTCACTTGCTGGGCATCTAAGCAAGTTGAATCTGGAGCAGGTCAGGTCCTCTAGACATCCACTCACTTGCTAACCCCTGACACCTTAATTCTAGCTTCAGTGGAACATCTTCTGCTGCTAGTCAAGACACCTTCTTCACTAGGTTGCCCTGGCGTCCCATGGATCAGATGACTTAGGTACCTTCTGGAGTCTAGAGGGGTAGCTTTTGATATTTTCCACGGAATACTGCCTATGGGGCACTGAACTCTACCCCCCACTGGGCACTTCTCTCTCTCCTGTCCCTCAAACCTTCCCTGGAACCCATCTGTGCCATGTATGCTCATAGACACTCCAGAGAACCCACTCACCAACTGTGTCTGATCACTGCAAAGCCAATCCTTCCAACAGGCCAGCAGACCCTTAACATGGGGGATCAGCAGCAGCTCCTGTGACAACTCAGGTGTGGCTGCTCCTTCAGCAGTGGGGACATTGGTAACACATTCATTCTGCACTTGGCTGAGTCCCCCAACCTCAAAGTATGAAACATCAGTATGAACTTTTCCCCACAAGCCCCTGGTATCCAGTAAAAGAAGGTGTTGCCTGGTCTATTTCCTGATGGTCTTTCCCCAGACTCTCCCTTCCTGGAGCCAATATCCCCCACTCTGCACCCACAAAGTGCACAGGGTACCTGTGTTGAGAACCCTTTGGAGTTGTACGCTGTTGAGGGGCTCTGCAGTGTTTGGGCTTCTGCAGACCTATCAGTCACCACAGTGCTGAGACGATCTCCCAGTCGTTCCTGGACCCCTCCAGTGTCAGCTCCCGCTTCCAGATCTGAGATTCTGTGGCTCTGAGAAGACCATCTTGATGAGGTCCCCTGTACCCTTAATTGGCAATGACCCCAACTCCTTGCCCAACATTCAGAACCTGTGTGATCTGGCCCACCCAGGGACATTTCACACCCCAACTCAGACTCCTGTCCTTCTTGGCCCAAGGGCCCCACTTTGCCATTGGCCCCTCAGACCTCCCTCCCTGTACTGTCCCCTCCCCATACCCCACATCCATGAGGGACTCCTCACCTTCAGGGCTCCTGTCAGAGCACAGTCTTTGGGTCTGGGGTTCATGGACCTGGCTTCAGACCCTCTGCTGGCCCACGTCCTGGGCTGTAGCAGGCAAGCACACGTGGTGACTTCTCCAATGCTGTTTCCTGGTTTGAAAATCAGACAGTGACTCCCACCCCATGATGGTGTGTTGTGGGTGTGAAAAGCAGGGAAGTTAAGATACCTGAAGTTCTGGACTCAGAAGGGGGTCTGGCCAGGGAGGCCTCACGCCTGGAAGAGGCCTCTGACGATCAGTGCTGGGAGGAAGGATGCTGAAGACAATGGTTCTGGGTTCCCCGTATGCTGAGCTTGGTCACATGGAGAACTGTGGCCTTGAGTGCGGAGTCCTTGTGTAAAATGGGTAAACTTTCAGTGAACCCAGGGGCTCCCTAATAGCAGTGAGTGCCCCACTGGCTCAGCGCTGGTTGCCTGGCACTCTCTTACAACAGCCAGTGCTGCAGCCAGGGACAGGCTGGACCTTGTGTATCTGGGTCCTGCATGAGAAGACACGGAGGGAGAGGGTGAAGGGGAGGGTGGGAGGGGGCACTTGTCTTCTCTCTGCCCAGATTCAGGATCTGTAGCCACCTCCAGTCACTCACCCAAAAAGCCCAGCAGGTGAAAAGCGGGGATCAGGAAAACGAGGTGTGAGGTATATTGCCTGGTTCACCCGCATGTCCCTGCTCTGGGTGCGACTCTGCCTAGATGAGGTTGGGGGTGGCCCGAAGTACCAGGATCTTTGGATGGCTCACAGCAGGCTACCGGGACCTGGACTAGAGTGATCCGTTGCTCAGGTAGCCGTTGGAGCATGGCGCAGGCGCACTGGGAGGCGGAGCACGGACTCGCGCTGTCCGTGGTCCTGAGCACATGCTTTTCTCGCGCGTTTTGAAGGGAAGTGCCCGAGTACCCTGTGAGGGTACTTGATGTCCTCAGGTCGCCGGGATGTCAGGGCGCCCCCAAGTGCGCCCCCTCAATACCACCCCAGGGTTGAGTCCTTTATCTACATTAGCAATAAACCCCTTATGAAACTATCAGGAAACTGAGGCAGGAGACAGGCAGGGGCTTGGTGAAGCCAAGATGGCCCTTGGAGGTCAGAGCCATCTCTCTTATGGGGTTTGATTTGAACACAAGATCCCCTAAGATGCTGGGGACCTCTGCCCACTCTCTTCCGTGGACGTTCCCAAGACTGTGCACATACACACATAGACACCAACTTGCCAGGTGGGGGTCGCAGATGGAGGGACAGTGGGGGGATAAAGGAGAAAGAAGGAGAGGTTGGAGGCCCCGGAGTGCAGGTGTCACACTCAGGACAGTCACTGTCCATAGACATGAGGACATGAGCCAAGGCTATGTCCACTCCCACAGCCAGCGGATCCCATGGCGTGAGTCCATGTGCACTGGGAGTTCAGACAAAGGACACCCCACCTCGGCTGAGGATGAAGAAAGGATATTAGAAGAAACGGGGTCATAGCGAGAACTTGACTGTGTAGAGGGAACTGAGGAGGCAGAGTCCCTGGGCCCATGGGGACAGGGAAACGGTCAACAATTGTTCAGCACCCAGAAGGGTTCCTCCTCCATGGGAGGATCTCCCTGAATGCTCCTAACAGCTCCAAGAAGGAGGCAGACTGTCTATCCACAGATGAGCACACTAAGGTGTAGAGAACCTGCCCCCTCATTGCCCCACAGGGTGGCAGAACCAGGACTTGAACTCGGAGCCTGTGAGGCCTTGCTGAGCTTGCAGCATACAGCTGTGCTACTGAGGCTAAGTGAGATCTTGTATTTTGATGTAAAATGCTTTGAAATTTATGAATATTTATCTCAAGGTAGATTGCCCCTTTGTTTTTGTTGGGTCCCTTTGCATCCCAAAGGATGCTTTTTAACTTAATTACGTTTAGTCTAATAGTCTTCTATATTAATTTTTAAAATTTATTTCTTAACCCGCCAACTCCCCTTCCATTTTCCTTCACCTGAAGAACACTTATATGCTGAACATGCATTGTTTTCACATGAACTCATGCAAAAGGGCATAATTGTGTGTGTGTGTGTGTGTGTGTGTGATTTTTCTTTCTCTCTTTTTCTTTCTTTCTCTTTCTTCTTTTCCTTCTTACTCTTTCTTTTTTAAAGGTTTTTGCAATAAGACACATGTGCTTACTGGAGAGAGATGGAGACAGTGAGAAGGAAAGAAATCACCTTCCCAGGGGGGATAGCCACACTGCAATCCCTCCTCACTCATTCTCTTTGGGCTCCCAGGTGTGTACAAGTGCCAGGCATGATTTTCAAGCTGCCAGTTCCAGAACTTGAACCTCAATCAACCATGTGGGAGTCCAGTGCCTTAACCACTATGCCACCTGCTGACCCCATAACTTTGAAATGCATTTAGTACTCTTTACATATCCACTAAAATGGAACTTTTCCCTGTCATTTTTTAAAAATGAGATGTTCATGTTTTTACAGTTAGTATTTAACTTCGCTGGCATTTTCCTAATCTCTGTGCTGACCATTGTTGCTGCATTCCATGCTTCCCTCCAGCTGCCCAGATCATCTTCCTGAATTTTATCCTTCAAAATTTCCTTTAATGAAGGTCAGCAAGTGATTGACTCAGTTTTTGTTATGCCTCAGATGTCTTTGTTTTGCCCTCAATATTTTACCAAAGTTGAGCTGAGTATAACATTCTAGGGTGAGTGCTTATTTCCCTCTGTTTATTAAAGATAGCAATCCAGGGGCCAGCAGGTGTCATGGTGGCTTGTTTTCTCAGCCTGGCTTCAAGTTCTTTTCCTCAATGTGCCTGTTAGAATCTCTGTCCAGGCCCCAGAAATAAGAAGCTGAAAGTGACTCCAAAAGTGACATTCTCTCGTTTTAAAAGAGGTCTAAGGCTCAGAATTCAGGGCTCCAGCTCCCATAGAATCAGAAGGAGAGGGCTTTGAGTGCCAGCAGGGTCCTACAGCCCCACCTGGTCCTTCTGAACCCAGCCCTGACCCTCTGAACTCCTCGCATCTCTTCCAAATCCAGCACCACCTCCTTCCAGTTCCCACCTTAACCTTTTTTCCTTGCATGTGCCCCTCAGCCTAAGGCCTTCCTCATCCTGCTCCCTCTACTGGATCCTCTGTCTCTAGCATTCCAAGGTCAGCATCTGTCCAGTCCTCTTTAGGCAGGCCAGCGGGACTACAGCCATTTTGAAGTTAAAAAAGGAGCCTCTAATGAGAACAAGCTGACCACATGCTGAGTCATCAGGACATCTGTTTGAGGAACGGTCAGATGTGAAACCAGGAGTGAGTATTTGAAGGAATCAGGATGATTACTCAGGGGAAAGCAATTAACTGGTTGTAGTGAGGAATGATTTGCATGTGCTTGTATCTTGCACCTATAAATAAGGAGAACATGGTGAGCCTTTTGAGACAGTTTGATGGTACTTGCTGTTTCCCTGTAACTGGTTACCAAAATAAACTTCCTTCTCCAGCTTTGCCTCTTGTTTTATTGACCATGAGAAGTAGCTGGACTTAGTAGGCCGGTGGCACCCTTCCCAGGCACCTTTCCAGGTGATTCTCCTCTCACTTCCTCAGCTGTGCTTCCCTATGCCTCTTCCCTCTCCCCGAATCTGCCTCTAAGTTGCTCATGGTCAAATGCTGGGATTCAGAGCATCTGATTAGAATGTGGGTCCTGAGGGCAGAGATGCAGCATTCATTTCCACTCCGTGCTCATTTTCCTGAACGCAATGCCTCATATGGAATTTACACTCAGCAAAGGCACCCGGGATGGACACAGAAATTGCTGGAATGGACTGGTTGAATCCCCCAAGCTGGGCCCTCTCCCTGAGACCCAAGAGTCCTGCATGACCAGCACTGAAAATGCTCGGTCCAGGTGGCCCTCTATGTAGGGGGCTCGGTGCCTTGTCAGAAGCCCCCTCCCCTCAGCAGAGATCCCAATCTCATTGCTGATACGTGGTCCCTCAGACAGGACACCTTCTGGGTTGAGGTAAAGACTCAGTGATGAGGGTGAAAGGGGAGGTCACTACCTAAGTTTTGAGATCACTTGATCCCTGGTCTTACAGTTTGGATGATGTCATTCTCATAGCATGGGGTGAGGACACTGAGCCCCACAGAACTTAAGAGACCTGCCCAAGGAGCTGGGATTCACGTTCTGACATTTATTATAATTACATTTAAAATATACAATAAAGAATATCGGAATGGTGCTGGCCCCATGCCCTGCTGGATCCCACATAGCACAGATAAATGCATAGTTCAAATCTCAGACCCCATGGCTTGAAAAACAGGCTGGGCATGGGTAAGTGAATGCCCCAAATCCCAACCATATGGAGAACTGGAGAAGGGAGTCACCAGGCCTGTGGCTTGGCCATGCCCCATTGCAGGGTGCTTTTCCCTCTCTCTCCCTGTCTCTCTCTGGCAAGGGCATGCACCTTGGAGGATGAGGTGCAGGGAGGAGAGACATAAAGGAAACAAAAAGGAATAATTATGAGGGGGATTTCAAAAAGTTCATGGAAATGGAATTAAAATATGAGTTTGCTTTGGTGAAAAAATAGAAATGTGTGCATACTTTTTTCCTACTATGCCTTCTCCATGAACTTTCTGAAGAACCCGTGTACATATTGAGGGCTTGGTATATGTTGGCTGTTTCTGTTCTGAATGCCTTTCCATGTGGTGGCTAATTCACTCCTCAAAGCAAAAGTAGTCCTAGCAGACAGGTACTGTCGTTTTCACCTTTTCACAGGTGAGGAAAGTCACAGAAGGGCCAGAATGGAAGAACTGAGACTTGTGCCCGGGCAGTGGGCATTGGGACTGTGCTCACGCCATGCTTAAACGACACAGTGAAGGTACAGTGCTTAGTACGGTGTCTGTCCCAGAGAGGTTACTCACCAATAATAGATTACCACGGAAAGTGTTGTTTTTTCTGATTCCATCGGCAGAGGAAGGTAATACTTTCTCCTTGAGGGTTGTTGGGAGGATTAAGAGCTCTAAGACTCAACTGGGCTTGACCTACAGATGCACTCAATGAACCGTAGCTATTATCAGTCAGGAAGTAACACAGTATTTGAGAATAAGTGAAGTCCCAACTTTACGTGAAATTCTTTGTTCATTCAAAATTGATCACTCCTCCTTGTAAGAACCTGGGTACTCGGTCACATCCTGAGAAAGAGATTTCTGTCTCTGAGTCTTAAGGATAAACTGATGTACTCTCTCTGAGTAGACAGAACATCAAGTGGGATATGGGGGAGAGTGCATCAGGCAGACAGATCAACAGTGACAAAAGCCCAGAGGTGCAAAAGTGGGTTTGTTTGCAAACAGAGCCAGGCAGGAGCTCGCTGTTCCTCCCATGCTTTCTTAGGGCATTCCTAGCACCTGTTTCCCCAGCATTTCAGAAACCGGCCCTCGGGTGACACCTGGTGGCTATCACTGATACTAACAGGGCAGAAACCAGCCAGAGTAAGTCCATGCCCCTTTTCCCTGAGGGTGGGAGAGAAACAGGTGGGGAAAAATATGTTTAATTCACACAAAAACAAACCAAAACAAAAGGATATAATAGCATAGTACAATTTTAATATGCAAATTACATCCGATTTTCCAGGTATCCAAGCAATGCAGTCTCACTGTAGAACATTTGGATAGCACAGAATAAAGAAGAAAATGAGGGACCTTTAATTTCATCATCCCAAATAATCACTGTTAAAATATTTTGGCAGTTTGCTTTCAGCATTTTTCTCTGCATATCATTTTTACAAAGCTGTGTATATATATTTGCATATATATACATATATACAGACTCAGTTATATTTAAATGTCTGTTGAGCAATTCTGTGGACAAAGGCGTGGCATGGGTGTTAGTGTGGGTGCTGGGATCCAGGTGGCAGAATCAGATCACCCTGAGTCTGAATCCTGTTTTTGCCTTTTCTAGCTGCGTGACTTGGGCAAGTGACTTTTCTGAGTAGCAATTTCCTCACCATCTGTGAGATGTGGTTAATAATGGAATTCATCCCAGAGCTGTCGTGAAGATTAAATGACACAGTGAAGGCAAAATGCTTAGTACAGTGTCTGTCACAGAGAGGTTACTCACCAATAATAGATTACCATGTAAAGTTTTGTTTTTCTGATTCTTAGCAGTGATCTCTAAAAATGGGACTTGTTTCTGGGTTCAAGGGTATGAAGAGCCACGAGGCTGCTACAGCGTGCCAAAATTGAGAGGAAAATTTCAAGCAAGAGCCCGTGCCTCCAGAGCCACAGCTGTTCTCATTTGTCTCTATATTCTCACAAGCCGCTTATGCAGAGCAGTTTTTAAGCATTGTAATTACAGGGCACCAGTTCCCTTAATGTTACGTCATCGACATTAAACTCTAATGTTGTCATTGACAGCATTTGCCACAATGCACTTAACTGTTTCCTTATTGTTCGGCATCTGAGCAATTTGATTTTAAACTTCATTGATTGGGCCAGCTGGTGGTATAGTGGTGAAGGTGGTCATGTCCCACATGGCCAACTGCATGGTTCTAGTCCTGGACATGGTGGCTTGAGACGCACGCTGGGCGTGAGTGCATGTGTGCCCAAAATCTGAAAAGGAGAAATAGAGAAGTTCTTGTAGCGTGGCCATTCCCCATGGGGAGTGCTTTGTCACTTGCCTTCTCTCTGTCTCTGTCCAGTGAGCACATGTGCCCTCTAGCAAATAAAGAAAAAAAATCATTAACCGATTCATTCATCCAAGAAATTGTTATTGAATGTCTTCTCTGCCAGGCACTGAAGAAGGGATAGGGTGGTCTGCAGACCAGTGCTGTCTGTACTTCTGGCCTCTGGCAGGTGAGATGGACCATAACAAGTAAACAGGCAGGCAAAAGTCTAACAGCAGCAGTGACAAGAGCTACTGTGTTTATACGTTTGTGTATTTTTCATGAGGAGATGGGGATATAGAGATGTATCAGACCACGCTCGCCTGAGGAGGAGGCTGGGATGTTTTCTACTCAGTGTGGCAGAGCAGGGTGGAGGGCTATCATGTACATCAGTAGAAGAGTAGGAAGAACTATTTCTGCTGTGGGTGCTAAGAAAAGCCTATCCTAGAAGAGGAAGGTCCACCCAAGCTAGTCTGACTTCTCCAGGGAGAGATATGAAGGAAGGGGAAGTTGAGGCAGAGGGAACAAGACAACGTGGAGATGGGGGGTGATTTCAGAAATTAGAGTCTCTTTAGGGGGCTGGCAGGTTGGTGTGGTGGTTAAGGGAGCTGGACTCCCATATGGCTGACTGTGGTTCAAATCCTGGACCTGGTGGCTTTCTCTCTCTCTCTCTCTCTGTCCCTCTCTGGTCAAGTTAACATAAATAAATAAAGTTAAATAATTTTTTTAAAGAAAGTCTCTTTAGACAACTAACTTGCCTTAATTTTTATCTGTGGCTGATGGGAAATTGGGAGATGTTTCTAAGCAGGAACCTAGCAGGTCTGGCTGCAGTTTGGAGAATGGATGGGAATGTGGTAGACACCAGAGGTAGGAAGACCCGTGAGGACAAGGCTGGTACAATGACCCAGGCTAAAGGCAGAAGCTTGAACTGGGATGACAATGATATGGATGAACAGAGGAGAGATAGGAGAGGCATTTCCATGTAAAACTTGAAAGACTTGGTGACAGCCTGGTTTTAGGAGTGCAGAAAGAAGGATAAATTAAGACTTGGCCAATTTATTTTTCTTTCTTTCTATTTTTTGAGACATGTTTGCTAGAGGGTGAGTGCACTTGCTGGAGAGTCAGAGAAAGGTGAGAAATCACTCTCCACCTCAGGGGGATGGCCATGCCTCAATTCCTTCTTCTCCCAGGATTTTGGGCACACACGCACACACACACACCCAACATGAGTTTCAGGTCTCTGGGTCCAGGACTCCGACTGCGGTTGGCCATGTGAGAGTCCAGCGCCTTAACCACGGCACCACCTGTTGGCCCCAAGACTTTGCCAGTCTCAAATGTAGATGACTGAATAAACGTGGTGACACTTGCTGAGACCAGGGACACCAGCACGAGTGACAGGATTTGGAGGGTAGACTGGTACAGAGAGTGGGGCCAGAGAGGGCTTTCTGTTGGTACCACGGACAGCTCCACGGATCTCGGGAGGCCTTTAACGGACTCCATCAATGAATGATTCTTTTCCCGCTTGTATTGAGTGCATGCACAAGTGAGAGGGAGAGAGGTCAGTGGGTTGTGTCGTGCAAAATCCTTTTACCTCTCATCTCCATCCCGTCAGGACTTTGGGCACGCATGTATACATATCTGGAGTGTTTTTCAAGCCACTGGGGCCAGGATTTGAACTGCAGTCAGCATGTGGGATCCAACTTTCTACGCACAGCACTCAACCACTGTGTTTGCTAAAGGGCTGGCCCTCACCGGTGGTCGTTAACCTTGCCTATCTTGGAACAGAGGAGCTAATTTAGCATGCAGACTCCCAGACTCACCCAGATGTCCTGCATCAGTCTGCAGGTGGGGTTAGGGAACCCAAACTCTCAATACATAACACAGTTTAGTCAGGTGCAGGTGGTCAGATAAGCATGAAGAAACACGGAAAGACACGGTGGGCTCCAGGGAGAGAGACGAGAGCGCCACCTGCTGCTCCACGAAGGTCTGAACCTCCTGAGTGTATGTCCTACATTTCAAGCCAGTTTATTCACAGAGTAAAAAGAAGAAAGCTAAGAAAAAAGACACCTGGAGAGACGAGAAAGAGGGGCCACCTTCCTTGATAACTTGTTCCTTTCACCCGATAGTGCAAGGTGTGGCATAATTCACCTGTGTGAAGTCACGGTCACTGTCATCAGTGAGGAGTACTGTGACCCCTTCCCAGTCCCATTTCCTTAAAAAATAAATAAGGCTCTCTCAGATGGGAAGGGACAGCCTCTTCTCCTTTCACCGGCTTTAAAAATATATGGCAATTCGAACCAGCAGTTAGCGTAATGGCTATGTCGCTGGACTCCCACGTAGTCGACCGCGGTTCGTGTCCCGGACCCGGTGGCTTAAAACTCATGCCAGGCGCGTGTGTGTGCGTGCCCAAGATCCCTAGAGGAGAATGGAGGAGAAGGGATTGCGGCGTGACCATCCCCCCGGGGGGTGATTTCTCGCTTTCTGTCTCTATGTTTCTCTCTGTCTGGCGAGCGCATGCGCCCTATAGCGAAAATCTCTCCTATATATATATATTTATCAATTCAAAAGAATGGAAAGCAGGGGCTAGAACAGGTATTTGTACATCGTTACTAACAGCTGTGGTATTCTAGTAGTCAAATTCATGGGACCCAAGCAGAACGGAAGTTCCCCGGGACCGGGAGTTGGGAGCTGCTGTTAAAGGGACAGGGTTTCTGATTGGGCAAATGAAAACGTTCGGAGTTGGATGGTGGCGAAGGTCGCAGTACAACGCCAACGTACTGAAAGCCCCTGAATTGTACACTAAAATTGGTTAAAATGGAAGTCTCCTTATGTATATTCGACAGCAATAAAAATGTGATATAATAAGGAAAAGTAGTCGTTAATGCCTCAACTCGAATGACAAGCTGTGGGGCCCATCCGGAGCTTCCCCCCAAACAGGGAAAGGTGTCATCCCTCATCCTGGGGGTCCTCAGAGGACCAGAAAAGTTTTCCTCCAACGGAACACTTGCTATTCCCCTCGGGCGTGGGCTTTCGCGTCCATCACAGAACCAGGAGGTCCCCCATGGTGGAGCTCCCTGGGACAGTGGGGAGTGCGTCTCCTCCTTCAGACCCTGCGCTATCCCGGCGGGTGTGCAGGGGTGGAGGAAACCGAGTCTTCGCTTTGAGACAGGTGCTCCTTCCCCCAGCCCCCAGGCTCAGCAGCCCTGCACCGGCTCACTGGCTCCCTGCCCCTATCTCACCCGGCGACTGTCCTCCTCGAGTTCAGAGCGCTCCCAAAGCTGCGCTCTCGGAAAGCAAGCTGGGTGGGCGGGCCCAGTGGCTTCTTGCCCTCTTCCAAGATGGCCGCCGCTGCCTCTGTGACAGCCACGGTCACGTGAACCCCCTCGCCTATGAGGTCGACGGGGTTTGGTCGGCGATTGTCCCTTCCCGGGCCCTGTCCCGAGGCGGCGACTGCCGGTGTCAACCCGCGCCTGAGCGATCATGGCAACGGGCTCTGCCGGGG